CAATGGACCCAATGGACGCAACGACCCCAATGAAATTGACGTCAACAGCCACAATGGCGCTAACGACCACGATGATCTCAACAGCCACAATGCCGCCGACAGCAACAATGGTCTCAACAGCGAAAATGGCTCCAATAGCCAGAATGTGGTCGGCATCAACGCAGAATGTGGTCGCAACGAAGTATACCTTCTTTGCGGACCTTCTCGTAATTGCCAATCTACGTGCGAAAATTCCAACATAATATGCCCTGAAGTTAGTATCGTCTAACAATCATATCCTTATGTTTAACATTGTTAAAGTAAGCTCTGCAGCTCGAGCCGCGATTCTAAGCTTTTACGGCTTGAACCTCGAAGATTTAAGCGTCGAGCTGTAAATGTTCGAACTCTTAAACTCTCTAGCTGTGTAAATTGCATAGAACGTCGATTATGAACAGCGGAGGATTGTAAAGTATTAGATATCAAATATCAGGCACATCGACGATAGTGGCGTGTCACTCACAAAACGAATCTTAAGAGAGCTTCGAAAATTGACTCTTGAGCTTGAACTTGAGCTTAACTTTAATTTTGAAGACTCGATCTTTGAGATTGAGGAACTTCGAAGGCTCGAGCTTCACTGCTTTGTACCTTTGATGAAAATTGTCTTGATTTTCTTACCTTTCGTTTAATTATATTAATTATTTTGTGTGAATTTCAGGAGTGCATCCCTGGCTGCGCCTGTGCTCGCGGATACGTCAGAGATTCTAATAACCAATGTATTCTTCTTAATCGGTGTAAACACCACTAATTGGTTTGGACCAATGAAGGGCTATTCTTGAAAAACAATAATTATCTAAAGGAGTAATAAAACATATACCACAGATGTGTGCATAAATATCTGTTTCTTTATTTTTTTCGTTTGTTGTTCCATGTGATCATTCCGAGTGGATAATGAGAATAAACGCAAATTTAACGTGACATTTACTGAGATTACACTACGCGCTCATTTTTCGGAAGGTGTCAACCGATGCTTGCCGATGTGTAATATTAATCTTGTCCCGAGCACGCGATAATGTGACGTTGGCAACGACGTAATTTTCATTTGATAATCTCTTTGTCTCGCGAATTTGTATATATTTCATGCGGTGTCGACGAAGGGATAACGAATCGATGTGCACTGAGAATTTTCAAACACCAATTTATTACTGTCACTGGTTTTTATTTGTACAAGCTTGCGACCAACATTAATCTATGAACAGACATTATTACTACGAAGTATCCCAAATACACATATACAAGAGGGAGAGCGGGAAAAGGGGTAGAATAAGTAAAACGATAAGAATAAGTGTTTCGTCGATTGTGCGAGAAGGTTAACAGTTTTCTGGAGTGACGCAGGTTCCTTTGCCGTTTCTCAGGTATCCTGATTTACACTGACAACCGACTACGCAATTCTGGAAAACGGAACGACAATAATTAGTATGCATTCGTAGAGAAACGCATAAATATAAATGAAAGCAAACGAAGAACACTGACAAGATACGTAATTATTTTGTTTGATTTGCACCAAAAAATGATTCTTTACTGAACTGTACGGAAACCTTCGTGGAGCTGTCAATTATTTTTAAGAACTTGACGAACAATCGCTTAAACTTATCGCATTTTTGTCGAATATTCATACTAACCATGGTGCAAAAATCTGCACGTGGTTTGGCACAGCTGGGCTCGCACGCCGTTCCGCAGGATTTAAACTCCTCGTTCAGTCCGCATTGTTGACCAAATGAAGCTTCAACAACAGAAAATCATCGCGTTATTCCCTACTTTTATTTTCGATCGACTCGATATCAAAGTAAATTAAACAGTTAAATATCTATCTAAATATTTTTGTGTTCACACTCTTAAGTTCTTCGTGAAGAAAAAGTCAAATCAACATGTCTTCGTTCAAAAACGAAATAAAATAAATTCTTTTCAACTGTCGAAAAAAATTTACTATTTATTATTTATTATCTATTTTTTATTATCATTATTATTTTCATTCCTGACTCTCTCTAACGATGTTTGACGACTGTACCTCCCATGAATAATTAAAACTCTACTCATCACGTGCGTAAAAAAAAAAAAAATAAAATAAAATATCTCGCTGTATTTGCAGTTTTGTTACGCAGTTTTTGCGAATTCAATCCAAATTTACAATAATTGCGTTTGACGAGTACCCTCGTGTGTTTCATTGCACACGCATATACACATTTCCAAAATAAAATTCCATCGTTAAAGCGTCAATAACACCAAGTTATATGCGCGAAATGTTACGCTAATTTTTAACGAACGCTACTTACTAGAGAAGATAGCCATAATCACGAGAAAGGCAAAGACGAGTCGGGACATTGTCGATTCCTTTGATGAAACACTTCACGAATGATGCTAGTGACACTACTGACCAACTTGTCGAATCTTGGCCTTATATACCACTGTTACGAAACTATGACATATACTTCGTCTCGTTCTTGATCTTTGTCCGTCCACTTGTATCTCCGTTTTCCTTCGTGTCGCTTTCCTCCTTTGGACTAACGCTAATGCATCAGGAAAACGTGGCTGGTCAAATGACGTTTTATCTGCTCAGTTTTGCTCGACGATATTGAACCACGACTATAATTAAACACTCTGGGTTCGTAACATACATACGTGTACAATCGCAGATTAGTATCGTACTAATTACCATTCGTTAGAACGAGGAAAATATTTATAGTGAGACGCAGTGAGAAACCTCAGGTGATTCATGTTTGTTGAAACGTAATTTAGAAAATCGTATTTTACTTATTCCAATTTATACGAAACAAGCTCATTAAAATGCAGACTGAAAAATAAAAATACGCTAGCAACGTTATACGTGATACATAACATATAGTTATACTATACATCTATATCTGAAAGTGTAAATATTATGTACCGTGGAAAAACCCGTAATGTTACAATATTCCTTTGCAAATTTTTTCTAGTTCGTTTCTAATACTTTTTTAAATAGAATTAAATTTATCTAATAAATAATATTTATTCAATATATTATACGTCATCCTCTAATAAATTATTTTATTATATATAAATATCATATTAAATTATTCTATCATATTAAATTATTCTATTATTGATCTCTGTTACAAACTAAACACTCAAAGGGACAAATATTGCAAAGAACATTATATTTTATTTTATTGCATTATGTACATTTTCGTATCTCAAATATCTTTACATATCCACAATCGATTACTTCAACGTTGTGAGTATGGCCATATAATTATCTGCGATACAGTAGAAATTCAGAGAATAAAATATAAATACAAAATAAATATACAGAAATGAAGTATCTGAAGGGGATGGATTTTCTTTCGCGTAATCCCGATAACGCTGCGTCGACCGAACGATTCTCGCCGTATCGATCCGTCAATCGCGAGGCATTGTGAGGACTGTGCAATTAGCGTCGATTCGAACGAGCGAAAAGGGTCGAAAATTCCGTTTGATTCGATTGGCAAATTTTCGAGTCGAGTCGAGTCGAATCGCGGGCTCACTTTGTCAGCGCAACGATCAATCCAGCCAGAGTTTCTCCTATCGACGCTTGCTTTTACCTTAAATGCCATTTCGTTGTCGATGGAGACAACGAGCCAACGGATTCAAAGTTCTCTCTTTCTCTCTCTCTCTCTCTCTCTCTCTCTTTGTCTCTGCGTTTCACCGTTTGCCGCGCTTTATTTCAGCGAAACCCAGCGCCGACAATCGAATATCCGACAGTCAAAATGCTATTTATTATTGAGCACTCAGCACCGACTTTCTCCATTTCGCTTCCTTTCTACGCTCACCCCCTGCTTCCCGATAATAATTCGTTTCTGTAGTCGGACGCCCCTTTTATGAAATTTATTACCTCGTTTCTCCTTCTACTTCTCATCGATAATTTCTTCTCCTCTTTCGTTGTGTTTCGTTTTATAAGAAATCGATTGAACGTTGAAGGACTCGTTCGAATTGGTTAAATTGTCTGGATTCAAACAACTGGAGGCCATTTTATTAGATTATTCATTTCGAACCTTCAAGTATTTACTCAGTTGTTCCTTCAAGTATTTACCAAGTATGGTTTTATTTAGTCGAATTGCTTGGATAATCTGTTAGAGATTGAAATGCATCGACTCTTCGCGTCAGGATTGCAGAATTATGATAAATGAATCTTGATAAAGAAATTTAGATAAGTTATTTCATATTACTTTCAATTTTTTCGTAAACAAATATTAACGATTCAAGAAGATGATAGAACATTAATTAT